GGCCATTAAAAGCACAAAAGGGTTTTTTTCATTTAAAAACGACAGCCCAGCAACACACTGAAAACTTTGGTGAGTAGTACTCTTAAGGTGTAGCGTGAAAGTCAATATTTCATCAAATGACTAAATCTCATGTGGAGACTACTATGCTTTTAGTGTTACTTTGTAACCGTCAGCTTTGCAAAAACTGAATGTTTGCAACATGTTGTGAATGTTTCTTTTTTCCAGAATTTGTCTGAAAATGATATTCAGAAGTTTCCAAAGCTAAGAATGCCGTAAGTAGAATGAATGATAGGATCAGATTATTGAAATAGATTTGTAAGGTGGGTTGTACACATGGTCTGAGGCAAAGCATGGTGATCCGTGTGAAATGGGACTCAAAAATAGATCAGATTTCTTTATGGTGATGTTCACCCAGATTATTTTCCTCCAGGCCAATGATGCTGGGCAACAGTTGGTATGATATAAAGGGAGCCATGAGAGAGATGGAAGCAGGAATTGGTATCTGAATGTCGTATAATGAAATTTTAAAACATTGGGCCTAGTTGAAGCAAGCGGTACCATGTGGGTTCTGTTGACAGTAGCAAAACACACTTTTCTAACAAGTGGCCTTTTTTAAAAAATGGATTGAATCCAGAGCTCTGCCTATAGGCTCTATACCAGAGAGCTTTCTTAGCTGTACTTTGTTCCCATTCAACCCAATGGGACTGAAATTATGACTTACGATTCACTGTGACCCCAGTAAGATGTAAATTCAGCTAATTTAGTCTGCATCCCACCTATTGTTTTTTTCTCTCTTTATACTGTACTTCAGTAAAAAGCGAAGTAGGGGTCTGTGAAATCCTGAAGAATGTCTTCAGTATTTTCTCCCCACCTTCCCCATCTATACACACTTGGCAACCATAATACAAGTTTACATTGCATTTATGTACATTTTTAAAACGTTGCAGTTTGAACCCCTTTTGTACCACTGACTAGAGCATGCTGGTCATGCATTTCTTCCAAGGGAGTACACAAAATTCAGAGTATTTGTTTTTCCCTTCTAAATATACCGAAAGTATTGCAAAAGTATGGCTGTCTCAGGTAAGGTGTATTCCACTGGCTGTCTCTAGAGATGTAAAACAGAAATTTACAGTATATGCTGAAATGTGTGTCTAACGAATCTCTACCTTGTCACTAAAATAGCCAAGTAACAATAGATTTTTCTATTGATAACTGCATAGACACATGTTTCCCAGAAAATCAGTAGATCAGCAGAGATCAGCAAACCACTAAAAGTTTACTATAGGTTATTCCCCTGTCTCTACTAGGCTCTATTCAATGGTGATGGTGAACAGATCCTCTATGCAGTGCTTACTGTAAGCATAGACTGGATCGTGTCAGCAGGAGCTTTTTTCGGTAGCTTCTATAGGCTTGTAAGGTCTGTTGATAATATCTGTGCAATACACGCATGTTAGGGCTATATCAGTATATTGTATTGTATATTATACAAATAAGAGTGCCATACACACTAAAATGCAGTGGAGGTGAGTTGACCGTATTTCAGAGGGATTTGTTTTCAGAATAAAAGATCAGTCATTTTCAAACCACTTCTGTCACATTTAGAATATATGTCTGCTCTGTTTCATCTCCTGATTCAACCAATGTACATCTTTCACAGCAGCTCTATTTCATTCATGCTTTCTTACCATCATCACACACTCCAGTGCCAAGAGTATTGGGTCACATAAGCCAAGAAGATATCATGGAAGAAAAGCCCTTCAGCTTTCAGGCACAATAGAAGAATGCAGAAGCTTCTCTGTAAATAGATCTGTGATCAGAAAAGCTATCAGTGGGATCTGCTTTAACTAGGGGTCAAACTATACATTATAGATATCTTGTAATTAGGGATGAAATCAGTTCATATTCAAGAGCTATGATGGGATAGTTTTTCCTGTCTGAGAAATCAGATGCTTAGGAAAACATACTCATGGCTTGAAGCCCAATCACAAAACAAAACAAACCAATTAGTAAATTATAGGATGATGAGAAAAGCTCTTTCTGTGATCATCATACATAATCAACACTTAAGGAATTCACTCTTCTGGTGACAAGTTGCCTTTCATGCATAGCTTGGCCCTAAAACAGCATGGAAGGTTTTCTCATTGGTATCTGGATATTTTTCTGTAGCAGCTACATGAATTTCTAATGCCAGAACATTGGTTTGCACTGCAACTCCACACACTTCTTTTATTCTGGAAATCCGTTCTGATTCTGATTTCTATAAATTGTTAAGGAAGTCCAGTATTTCTATCAAATATTTTCACCTCCAGAATTAGTATCGGAATAACCATAAGCAGAATACAGTAAAACATTCTTGTTATGTACCATCAAATTGCATCCATCTTATGGTGACCCTAATATATTTCCAAAGTACGTGAGATAGTTATGGTTTTACTGTTGCAGCCCCCAGTGAGTTTCTATGGCTAAAGAGGGATTCAAATCCAGATCTCCTGTGTCCATGTCCCTCACTTTATTCGCTACACCACATTGGCCCTCACAATGAAATAATATAATAAAACAAAAGAGTAGTGTTCATGAACAAGACTTAAAACCAGGGTTAACTGGTAAGTAATCAAGAAAGTGTCTAGGCAAACAGAAGTGGTCTTTAATTAGCAACAGAAACATCCAGCACTGGGAGACTCAGAGAGATGATTACATATAGTGGATGCTGCTATAGCAGGGAAGGCACCAACCAGGTGAAGTGGTTTTATCAGTTCTTTGAGCTTTATAAGAGCAGATGGTGAAGCATGCTGAAGAACAGAACAGATATGACACTTTTGAGGGGGGGCACTAAATTTTGTTTTACGGCATCTGGAAACCTATTGGTTGTGTGAGGTTTGTGTAACTCACCACAACTCATGGTGGCTAATTGATAAGGTGCTAGAGCACATCACAGCTGTGCAAATCAGTCACATCACCATACAAATAACCAAGATGTACACCGGAACCTCATAAATTAGCCACAATTAGCTATGGCAAGGTACAGAAACCACACATAAATGCCAGTAAGATTCTGGCCAGCATCGCTGAAGTGCAGGTTATTACACAAAGTACTTGTAAAAGCATCTTTACTCATTCAGTTATAATGTACATTTTACATTATTACTGGGACAGAAGAATGTTCATCTCAAAGTATTCAGAAAATGGAGAATAATTCAGCTGAACATAAAGCATTTTAATGCCTTCTTCAACCAACTATGAAATGAAATGCATAAGTAATAAAAGAGCAGTGAATATAGGCCAAAGGAGAACTGGGGTAAATTCTCTATCTTAGTCATATTCACGTCTCTATATGCCAGGAAAAATACATTTTACTATATTGGTCTCTCTGAGGTACTAGTTTTCTACATGCAGGTAGGGATGGTTAATGGACTGGGATGGAGAGTATATCACCTCCAAATGTCCTCCCAATCAGGAGTCAACAATGCAGACAAAAGAGGCTTCCCCCCACACCCCTGCATTTTTTCCTTCTCAACTCTGATATGATATAGTCCAAACAAGGAACAACATTAGATGTCTCATTAAGCTGACCATCACCTATCTCAAATTCGCACTGAGTCTCAAGATGCAGTGGTTTCAACTGCAGTACTGTAGTCCAAACTCTGCTCACAACCTGAGTTCAATCCCGCTGGGCTCAGGTAGCCAGTTTGAGGTTGACTTAGTCTTCCATCCTTTTGACGTTGTTAGATATGGTATCCAGCTCGCAGGTGGTGGGGCAGGACAATGTGTAGTTTGCATAATTAAATTGCAAACCATCCAGATATAGCTGTAAGCACTATGGGACAATATATAAGCAGCATACTTTTTTTTTACCTTGAGTTGCAACAGAGTCATAATGCATTGGGAAAATACAGTAGGTCCAATTCTTCCTTTCCTAACCTGTGTTCCAGCACAGAGTGTTGCTGTTAGCCTTGCATGAGGTATGGGTCCTCCCCCTTAGTATCAATGGAGGCTTACTTTCTTAGTGCTTATTTTCAAAGTCATGGGTAGCGGTAGCCTGCTATGTTCTCCCTGATGATCTGCCCCTCCATGCATAATTTTTTAAAACAAAGTTAATCATAATTAATGTGAGCAAAAGATTTACCTCCATCTGGCATGAATTGAGCCTACATCCTATCAATTTCAATGTGAAGGTGTTAAGTATGCCCTTAACTACCTCCAATTTACATCAGATTAATTTAAACTATGTCTCAGTCATGGCATGAATTAGCACTTGCAAGAAACAACCCACTGTGTGTTAGTTCTAAATTTGTAAGAATGTTCCACACCAAAGTCGGCAAGGAAATTTTACCCTCTGTACTTGCTTTAAAGCACCATCTTCTTTCTTATTAGCCCACCAAAGCGTGTCAGGTGCTCCAAAGACCAAGTGCAAATACTAAAAATGTCTATTTTCATGTAAGTGGCAGATCATGAAAAGATTGTTAAGTTTTGCCATATATAATCTATTCCAACCAAGGCAGTATCTTCTGTCGCTAACCAGCACTTAAAAGACCTTGCTTATGTTGAAACATGGATTTGCACTTCCTGTTTCCCTGAGCTCTAGCAACTAGTAGGGTCACCCATTAGAGGAGCAACTACCTAAGGATGCAGCTTCCCAGAAAGTTTTTTTTTTAATGAAAGTACGTTCTCCTACTATGCTCTTACAGTCTTACTGGTGTTATGTGAAGAGACTTGGGTAGAAGAAAACAGAAATTGAAACGTGGGTTTTCTTTTGCAGTGGAAAATTATAAAATTCTGGCACAAAGGTCAAATTCTGTCAGCTGGTTTAAATTTGATATTATCTGATATTGTTGTCTAGCATGTGGTTGATATGTGCCAGATTTCCACTCTAGTGACAGCAGGATGGAGTGGGAGCATAGATTTTTGTAAAATTCTCTTTGTTTTTCTCCTTTTTCTTTGGGAAGTGGGGATCATCAGAACCTTCAAAATTCATCTAGCCTTTGCTCACTATTTCTAAAGCTAGCAGGGTCTGCTTTGCACATTCATGCAGCATCTTCTCCCTTCTGATTTTAAAATTATGGAACATCTTCCCAAATGTGTAAAAACTGATCTTTACCAGATATCAGGGAGCAGCGCAACGTTCACGTGCTTCATCAGGCCTTGTAGCAAACTATCTTGTTGTTTATTTTTAAGGCTGTATAACTTAGCATGTAGGCTTCATAGTCTCAACAAAGGGCATATGGCCCTTTGGGGAGCCCTGGCATGTTTGAAGGGAGGGTCAAAGATCCATCAG